GTTCCCCAGCCAGTATTCCCTGGCTGGTGAATTCTGGGAGTTGAAGTCCAGACATCTTCAAGTTGCCAAGGTTGGGAAACTCTGCTAAGTGACTTAAAACCAGGGAAACTTTTCATCAAGCCCATCCATCACATTAAGAATTTACTGAACAGGTGAAGTAGTTACTAAATTTTACTGAGTTTACTAAGTTACTAGTTACTAAGGTTCCTGATAAAGAAGTGAGTAAACTTTTTTTACGACGACTGATGATGATGATGATGATGATGATGATGATGATGATGATGATGATGATGATGATGATGGAGAAGATGATCAGCCCCAAAGGACTCCAGGCGATATTAAGGGAAATAGTTAATTTTGTTGTCAGATTTAAAGGAAGAAACAAGTCCATTTATTCTACTGGAGATATAAACACTTATTTTAGAATGGATGAATATAAGAACTTGGCAATAATCACACTCTCCACAGTAGATGATTTGCACTGAATTTCATTGGCATGCTCTCAGTGAGCTCCTCAGAAGTTGGAGTGATATGTGAATAACAGATTATTTACTCTGCCTTAAGTAACAACTTTGTTCATATTTTTCCATGTTCTTATTTTACTCTCTACCTTTTCAAAGCTCCTTAAATATTTGAAAAGAAATGTAGACAAAATACTTGATGGATAAAGGCCAGAGGAAACCTAATTACAGGTTTAAATCACTCTAGAGTAGGTGGTTTCATGGGAAATTCACACTAGGCAAGATACTATTTTAACCCCCCTAATATGTTCTTTAAAATTGTCCTATAAATTATGACAAAAACTTAATAGCATGGGGAAATGATGACTCCGATATGAACTGGAAATGTTAAGTAAATGTATGTAAATTCTGTAAAATTCTTTTGGGATCCTTAAATGTAGCTTAGATTCTTTAGCAAGTAAGCCACTGGTCTGCCAAACTTTGGGTATGGCCCCAGAGAAAACTATATTACCAAAAAGTACTTTTTTTGATGTGAAAAACCGAAACACGATTGCATATGTATTATAGAAGAATTTACTAAGTTTAAATATAAATCGATTCAAGCCTACTTTTTACTTTTAAAGCAGACGTGGGTTCTGGCCGGCACTACTGCTGGTTGGATTGGAGTGCACTGTGCGTGCATGCGCAGTACAACTAAAATTGCTCTGCATATGCGCAAAAGCAATAAACAAGATGGTGGCACCTATGGCACTGCTGGGAGAACCGGTTTGGGGATGTGGCAGGCCTGAGTCGCTGCCGCTTCCAGCAACCCAGGCTGTCAAACCGCTACTGGTTTGGTTGAACCAGGAGGAACCCACCACTGTTTTAAAGCCAAGTGAACTTGAAAAAAGTTATGTAATCTTGAACTAAAAGAATTAAATAAACTCAATGAACCAAATGGGTCATATTAATCCTGCAGTTATATAACTGCCAACAGTGAAAAACCATAATAAATGCTCTTTATCCAAGTACCTTGATCTTAACCTTCTTATGTAAATCCTATTTTGCAGACCAAGAAATCTTGCACAGATTGGAGAAGGAAAAAATTCTTGTTTTCACCCCATCGCGGAGAGTGCAAGGAAGACGAGTTGTCTGTTACGATGACCGCTTTATAGTAAAGTTGGCCTATGATTCTGATGGCATCATTGTGTCCAATGACAATTACCGGGACCTTCAGAATGAGAAACCAGAATGGAAGAAATTCATAGAGGAACGGCTGCTTATGTATTCCTTTGTAAATGACAAGTATGCTATTTCCCCTCATCTGCTGTGCACAAATCTTCCTTAGAGAGATTTCCTTTTCTTTTAGTGTGGGTCCAATTCTCATCACAGATAGTCCTTGGCTTACGACCACAATTCAGCCCAAAATTTATGTTGCTAAGCCAGGCAGTTGTTAAGTGAGTTTTGCCCCATTTTACAACCAGTGGTCGGTTCCAGATCCCGTTCCAACCAGTACGGTGTCGTCCACATGGACGTGTGCGGTGCGTGCATGCATCATACTTGCTTGCGATGCCTCCACAAGCCTCTGTGACGCTCCAGCTGCTCAGCGGAGCATCATGCAGGCACCATACGCGCCATACGTGTGCGCGTAAGCACCAAAGGCTTAAAGGACAGGTAAGGAGCTTGGGTGGGAGGGTGGGCCCTCTGGAGCACCGTGCTGGAACGGTACCCATACTGGGGCATACCACCTGCAACCCATCACTGTTTACAACCTTTCTTGCCACAGTGAATCACTGCAGTTATTAAGTTAGTAACATGGTCATTAGGTGAATCTGGCCTCTGCTTGCTTATCAGAAGGTCACAAAATGGGATCATGTGATCCCGGGACCCTGCAACTATCATAAATATGAACCACTTGCCATGCATCTGAATTTTGACCAGGGGATGCTACAATGGTTGTTTGAAAACGGTCATAAATCACTTTTTTCAGTGCCGTTGTAACTTCAAATGGTCACTAAATAAACTTTGTAATTAGAGGACTACCTGTATTTGAAAATAGCATGGCCAGGAGTTAATGTCTGTGAACAACGGGAATAGTAGTTAACTGATTTAGGCATTTGTTCTCAATGTTTTCCTATATTCTTCAGTTCTTCTTCTCTCCATAGATTTTGTTCTAAGCTAGAATAACGTTTTTTCCTGTTTAGTGAGAAAACACTGCAATCCTGTTAGCTTTTTGGTTAACACTTTTTGCTTATTCTTCAGGTATCATTTACTTTTACATAGAAAGTAAAGATTGATTGGCACAAGCTGCTTTCTGAATTCACTACTGCTAAACTACAAAAGTGGTTGTGATCTTGGCTTGCTAGTAAAGGTTGCTGCTTTGAGACTCAGAAACAATATTTCTCCTAGGCGCTGCTTGGAGTGTCCAAGCTCGGGTTAACTTCAGCTTGCTGCCCAAGGAACTGAGTTTGAAACTTTGTTGTAGCTCCGCCTCCTGGTTGCTCCAGAGGCTCAGTTTTAAAAAACTCAGTCGCCCAACAGGACGTATTTCCAGGGGCTCCAGTCCTTGTGCAGCAAGCTGGGCCCCAATTTAGTAATTCCTAGAGAGTTGTAGCTCCTTTTTTTGCTAGTTTGGATAGATAGGTTGTAGTTAGGTTTTTTTTTTCTCCTGCTCTTCTTCTTCTTCTGCGAGATATCTCCTTGAATTCATCGCGCAGGCAGGCTCCCTGGGGCGCTCGCAGCCCAGCCTCCACCTGGGCTGCTCCTTGGTCGGGTCTCCCTAAAATGCCGGTTCAGTGAGTACGTGGGGGGGGGGGCGATTAGGCAGCTAAAGCCCTTCTGAGCCCCTGACAGGAGCGCTAGGCTCTGTGCCGGCCCGACAATGCTCCAGGCGCGCGCGGCGCGATCGCCCGCCATTTTAAACGGTCCGTTTTGGCGCGCTTTTGTTTCCAGGCCTCTATTCTTGCCGCGCGGCCTCCTTTAAGCAGCGGATCGCCGCGGAGGGCCGCCTTAAGCCCGGAGCNTTTACTGGGTTTTTTTTCTTACTATCAAGTCTTGCCCAGTTAGGTAAGGAAGGTCAAGGTAGCAAAAAAATCCCACCATATTTCAATAATGCTTATCTGGGGTAAATTTAGAACCTTGGAAATTGTGATAGGAATGTCCCAGTTTTGCTTATGGTGAGCTAGTAAAATAATGCATACCTTGAATACCTTGAGAGTTTGAATCCAGATTTCCCCAAATCAGGGATGAGCTGCCTTTTCTGAGATCAATTGTCCACTGATTCATCCAGTCTCAGGGTTGGTCTGCTGGGGGTTCGCAGGGGTTCAGGACAATCTCTAGCTAAGATTCTGTGCCATTTGGAGAACCCCCAAATTCCACTCCTGGCTGGCACCACCCACCCCTCCCCTCCCAGGAGTCCCCACACTGCCCATTTTGGATGCAGGTAAGTGCAGGGTGCATATAGAGCAGTGGTGGGCTGCAGGCGGTATGCCCCTGTATGGGCATAGTAGAGCCTGCCTGGAGCACCGGGTAACGTGCCCGCACCTGCCCGCCCAAGCTCCTTACCTGTCCTTTAAAGCCTTTGGTGCTTCCATGCAGGTGCATGGTGTGTACAGCGCCTGTGTGATGCTCTGACAAGCAACTGGAACATTGCAGAGGCTTGCAGAAGCATCGCTGGCAGATACAATGCATGTGTGCACCACGTGCGTCCATGTGGGCGACACTGGGTCCGTTCCAACTGGTTGGAACGGGATCCTGAACCCACCACTGATGTAGAGGCTTGGGGAGGCTGAAAAATTGGCCTACCAGAAGTTCAGGAAGGCTGGAAAGGGGCCTGTTTGTGGCCTAGAGAGCCTGAGTAGGCTGTTTTCACCCCCTGGAGGATCAAGGGAAACCTCTGAAGCTTGGAGAGGGCAAAAATGCCCCCCCTCCGTGGTGCAGAAGGCCGACTAGGTCACACCCACGATGGCCATGCCCACCCAGCAACTGGCAGAGAACCCCTTGCTTTTAAAGCCCACCCCTATTTCTCCCATTCTTTTGCCAATTTTTCATATATAAGTTCTCATATATAAAATGAATGTCTTTACTATATTTCACACCATTGTAAGTCTTTCTTGTAACGAACAATATAAACATGATCAGATCTGAAACAACTCTTTATTTAAAAAATTTGCAGTGGTCTATTATGCTATACCTTCTCATTCAAATAGAGGAAAGAAATCTGATCTCAAACCAAGAGCCATAATTTGTTTACAACATAATATTTTACAGTACAATACAATATTTTATAAACGAAATCACAGGCTTCTCATACTCCTAGTTTTGTCATCAGTAATTATAATATTTATTTCAAAACAGACGGTATATGTTAATATGGAAGATATTAAGGAATGTATTAAAGGCTGATTTTTCCCTTGGTTAAAGGGAACTCATTAACTCATTATATCGTATTTTTAGGAGTATAAGACACACTAGAATATAAGACGCACCTTAGTTTTGGGGGAGCAAAATAGGAAAAAATATTCTGCCTACCAGGTGTTCATCTGGCTAGCGTCCTTAGTCTAGTCAGCTTCAGCACATGAGTTTGCTGGCTTTGAACATGCATATGTTTTATCCCCTGGACCATGTATTCCAAGTGAGGCCATACTGATTAACAATCACAATCATTACAAACAATCATTATTGAGGATAAGTGAGAAGATTATTTGGATCAAGAAGGACTTTCCTATCTAAACTCTATCTGAAATCATCAACCAGTATGATCGATGCTATTTCTATTCTGGAAACTTGGAGCAGTAATACTAGCAAATTATCTGCTCCATTATTATTCCCATAACACCAGAAGTGCAAGCAAACACAATAGTATAATCAAACGATCCTTTTTGCTACTTTTTTTCTTTCTCCAAGCGGCTGGGGAAACTCTTAATAAGTTTAACTAGCTGTCTGGGCGTTCAGCCAAAAGCACTTCGTAAAAATGTAGCAAAGCTGAATCAACAAACCAGCCCAGCGCTTGCCTGAAGGAAACCATTGAGAAAACTTAGGAAGCCAATAGGAAAAATCCCTGCCTTGCCCTTANATAATGACCAAAAAAAAGTTTGTTCTTGGTAACCACCAATCTCAAGGGGACCTTAAGCAATCTGAAGAACAGAATGTTTGTGCACTGTTAGACAATTTGTCCTTTTTAAAATAGTTTTGTTCTGTACAACATGCCTATCTTTCCCAAAGGAACATATCTCCCAGGGCTTCCTGTAGCATTTTCCTCCATTATTCTTTCATGCAACAATACATGTGGATGAATACAGGTGGAAAAAAGAATGCCAAGAAAAAAAAGGTATCTCTTCATTTTACAGGTAAAACCTATGTGCAAGAGCCCATGAGATTCTGAAACCTTTCTAGCAGATCTTTCTGACAAAATCCAGAAGGGAATCTTTTATTCATTTCATTATTCTCCACCCTCTTTCCCAAGAGATGAATTCATCAGCATGAAGAGAAAATAGCAAGATGTAATCCTGTGCACACCTATTGTTTTCATTGTGTTCATGACAATGTTCTATTTGGATGTTATAAGCTGCTCTGAGGGCTTGTTTTATGGAGAAAAGGGGAGTTATAAATTATCTTAATATAATGAGATTTACTTCTAAGTAAACATGTGCACAGTTCTGCTGCATTGGCATGATCCAATCAAAATAATAGAGTGGCCAAGGAAGATTCAGTGACAGATCTGACATCCAGATTTCAAGCTCTACTCATTTATTTTGATGAGATGCTATGGGGAAGATGGACGGTGGGGAAGAGGCCAGTTTTTGCTTATCTAATCTCTTCTCTCCTCAGTGCAATTAATAGGAGGGGATTAACTTCATCAGTTTCAAAGCTGACATAATTTAAAGGTTGGGGAGGGGAGTTATCCAGAGTATCAGATGGCTTAAGATCATGATATTCTCTGATGCTCCCTCTGGAGCATCATGGACAGAGCTGGAATACTGGCAGCTGAAACAGCCCATAGTTACTGTGTTTGGCACTTGAGGATTACTGTCTAAAATGTAATGGGAGAGGAGAAAATATATGAAATAATAGGACATGCCGCCTAGCTGAAAACGTATCTGGAGGTGAGTTGTGCTGATTTCTGTGGGATTTGTTCAAAGGAATTTAGGATAGAATTCTCTGATTGTTTACATTCTTATTTTGAGTTGTGATAGGGACAGCTGAAACCCAGGAGGGAAGGGAAGAAAGAGTTCTCACCAATGGGGAACGTATCCCCAGAATTATGGAGCCCCTGTGTTTCTAATAAAAAGCAGGATTCCCTGTGA